TTTTTTTTCCCTCCCTCTTTGAATCCTCAAACAAACAACCCTATTTTTTTTTTCCTCCCTCTTCCCTCTTAATCTATCCATTGATAGATTAAGCTCAGCATTGCTGTCTGGCATCTGAGCCTTTTTCATTTCTCTTTGCAGGAGACCAGAGAAAACGTGGCTGTGAATTCCAGAGAGAGAGGAGAAAGGGGCGTTTTTGGATCAGATTGGCGGGGACTCCCGTTCCAGAAAACTTGGAAATCTTGGCCAGGTTGGAGAAGCAGCTTTCTGCCCAAAGGGCCAGTCAGTGAAGGAGAAACAAAACCGGTCAGCTGTGAGGGCCTTGACTCAGAGGGGTGACAAGTGACCCAGAGGCCTCTTAGCTATAACGTTAAAGGTGAGTCAATGAAACTTGGTGTCAGGTGGAGCTCCATTCCAAATTCAAGAAAGAAATAGTTAGACTCTTTGGGTTAGAGAAAAAATATCTTTTACTGAAATTGAAGTGGTAGCAACCATAGAATTCTGAATCTGGGAAATTAGGCGCGCAGATCACATATACACAGGGATGGAAATGTTCCCACCCCCAATAGTTCAAATGATTCTTCCAATTAAAAGTTGTGAATATGACCATGTGGACATCTTCAGGTGATGATGAGGCCTCTGTCCGTTGACCTTGGCATATTTTGATAAAAGTTTGCAGTTGCGCAGAGAAAAGAAAGCTAAGCGAGAAATAGACATCTAAGCAAGAATTTATACTCCCCCCCTCCTCATTTTACACAACACTAGAATGTAACACCTCCAGCTCTCTTCCCAGACTTTACCCCCTCCTCCCCCCAGTTACTTATGGCAGCCAAAAGATGCAAAGCAATAGTAGAAGATCTTGAAGGCTGACACTTAGTTTGGAAAATAAGCTTTTTTTTTTTAATCCTTGTGGTAATGCAATAAAATTGGGTTTATCTGCCAAGGTGCTGAGTGAAGGCATAATTTGTTTTATCTGTCTTAGTTGTAAGAAGCCCCTCTTGGTGGAGTTGGAGGTGGACCCTGGGTGGAAGGCCACGAAGTGGGGAAGTCGCATCGGCTGGGTGGAGGCACCCCTGAAGCCGAAAGAGCCCCTCCCCAACCTTCATCTGGTCCCTTCATGGGGAAATGCTCTCTCAGCCCAAACTAGGGTGTGTGCGCGCAGGGGAGGCCATCGGAATCTCAGCGGAATCTATGTTTGACTTGAAGGAGTCCTTGAGGAGCTTTGGGACACATAGCTTAGAGGCGTTACGAAAAATGCGGCTTGGAGAATGGCGCCTGGCTGCAGATGTCATCAGTCTGGAGATTAAGGCCACTTTTCTCACTGGCAGCAGTCCCACTGGACTGAAGTCCTGGGGTCGGTGGCAGACGGCTCAATTGACAACAATCCCTGGCCTCCACTTACGGCACCACCCTGGCATTTCTGCCCCATTGCAGGGCCCAGAGGGTACGACTGAGGCATTTGGGGGCAGCTGCACCTCACTTCAGGTGTCCTAATTCATGTGAGGCCAGGGCTGGACTTCCAGGGTTTCTCCCATTCCCTTCAGAGCCCCCCCCACCCCAACACTGCAGTTCCTGCCAGGCCTCCTTCCACTTGGCAACCAAAAAAAAAAATCACTTAACAACCATAACTACATAAGAGATTTTCTTATGTAAATCCTAGAGATTTTCTCACTATATTTCTGAAAATGAAATACTCTTCTCTGCTTCTTTCTCCTTCCAATAGCCAATAATACACTGTGACCAAAGATTTACCTGGAAGACAACTGCCAACAGATAGTAGAAAAGCAGCTCGACAGCACCCACCCGAAAGGATGGAGCCTGGAAAACTCTTGGATCCCCCATCTGAGAAAAGCAGCACTCCAAAAAAACACCAAAAATCCCATGAATGCTCAGAGTGTGGGAAATACTTCACTAGCAGGTCCCTCCTTTTGACCCACAGGAAGGTCCATGTGGGAAGTGAATCCAGTCAAGATCTTGAGGCTGACAAGTCCTTCCCTGGCAAAGACACCAAAGATCTCAGAAGCCCCCCCACATTAAGACCCTATAAATGTGTCAAATGTGACTTGTCCTTTGGTCAAAAGTCAGGCCTTCTTAGACATCAGAAAATCCACCCTGGAGAGAAACCTTACAAATGTCTGGAATGTGGGAAATATTTCCGTCAAAAAGCCACTCTCCGAGACCACGAGAGGATTCACACAGGGGAAAAACCTTACAAGTGTTGGGAATGTGGGAAGAGCTTTTCTTGGAAGTCAGGTCTTCGTACCCATGAGAAAGTTCACGCAGGAATCAAACCTCACAAATGCTTTGAGTGTGGAAAATGTTTCACCAAGAGTTCAGGTCTTCAGTGTCATTGGAAAACACACACAGGGGAGAAAAGCGAAAAATGCCTCGAATGTGGAAAATGTTTGTCCACAAAATCAGTCCTGCTGCGACATCAGAAACTCCACACTGGAGAGAGACCCTATGAATGCCCAGAATGTGAGAAACGATTTGTGGATTCTTCTGAACTTCGGAGACACCAGAAATGGCACAAAGGGGAGCTGCTCCATAGATGCGGGGAGTGTGGGAAAAGTTTTATTAAGCCAGCCTATGTTCAGATTCATCAGAGAATCCACACGGGGGAGAAACCCTACAAATGTGAGGAGTGTGGGAAATGCTTTTCCCAAAAGCAACACCTCGGACGCCATCAGAAGCTCCACACAGGAGAGAAGCCATACAAATGCGAGGAATGTGGAAAATATTTTGGACTGAAGGCAGATCTTTGGAGACATCATAAAACCCACACAGGGGAGAAACCCCATCAATGCAACGACTGTGGAAGATTTTATAGTACCTCATCAGCCCTTAGAAGTCATGTGAAAATTCATACAGGGGAAAAAAACTACAAATGTTTGGACTGTGGGAGAGCATTTGCTCGTTTAGGTTCCTTAAGAAGTCACAGCCGAATCCATACAGGAGAGAAACCTCACAAATGCTCAGAGTGCGATCAATGTTTTGCTTGGAAAGATTCTCTTGTGAAGCATCAGCGAATCCACACTGGAGAAAAACCATATAAATGCCTGGAATGTGGGAAATGTTTTGCCCCTCCTTCAGCACTTCGGATGCACATGCGAAATCATACAGGAGAGCGGCCTTACAAGTGCACAGAGTGTGAGAAACCTTTTCATAGTAAATCAAAGCTAAAAATGCACCAGAAAGTCCATAGCAGAGATAAATCTCTTCAGTTGTGAAGAACGTTGGGAACACTTTTTTCAAGTCACATCTTAACATTAACCAAGAACTTCACACAGTAACAGAAAGGAAATGCTACAATTTTTGGTGTGGGGAAAATGTTTTTCCAACTCAAGCAACCTTAAATCCCATCAGAGAGTACACTTTGAAGCAAAAGGGCGTAAGTGTTGGGACTTTGAGGATATTTTTGCTCAGAAAGCCAAATTAGTAATTTACCAGAGTGATTACACAAAAGAGTTATGAGTGTGTAAAGAGTAGATATAATGTACAGGAAGTCCTAAACTTGTGACCACAACTTGGAATGGATTTCCAATCATAAGTTGCTACAGATGTAAGTGAAGGCACCCAGGTATATCTGTTAATTTTTACTAGTCTCTGTTGATCAATAAGGACAACTGAAGATTTAGAGAGGAGAAAGTGGGGTGAGGGGCGGAATGAAGATGCATCTGGTTGTTTATTTAGCTATAAAGTGTTGGTGTTCAATATGCTGGCTGGGAAAGTTGATGCCCTTTAAAACAGCCGCCATCTTGATTCTTTTGACTCCATCCTTCCTTGCTGGACTTGGACTTTGGGATTGAATGGGAACGTGTGGGTTTTGGATGAATTTTCGGAGGAAAAATGTCCTGGAAATTTGGGTGGACCCTTATTCTTAAAGGCAGATTATTGGTGGCTACCTACATGTGCCTGACACACTGGTGATTAATTGGACGACATCTTGCTTAGGGCACACATTATTGAAATGCAGCTAACAAATACCTCGAAAAAAACTACAGACCCGAAAGAAAATGGAACTCAGGATATAATTTTTAAAATATAGAATGGCTGGATTTGAACATTTTATTGGCAAAATCTTGAAAAAGCATTTTAAAATGCTGGAAACATTGGACTGATTATTGGGAAAAGTGAAGGAAAATTACTTGAAGGAATGTTGTTATTAAATTGGGTGTCGGGTTGAAATTCTGCTAGTGAAAGAAAGGAAATATACTGTATTTTCATAAGGCTGGGAAGACTTTGGAATACTCTAACACTGAGTGGAGGTGAACACATCTGGAAGACTGTGTTTTTTGCTGAAAACTGTTTGAAACCTATTTGTTTCATGACTAGGAGACAAAATTTCTGAGACTTGAAGATTGCTAAGTAGAGTGATTCACAAACACTTGGAAATGTTATTGGAATCAAAGCTGGTTAGGTGGCTGATGAAGACAAGGGAAAATCTGGAAGGATTAAACTGACTGCTGGAGGACTATAAAGAATTATAAATATGTACTTTGAGGAATGGGACAGTGAATAGTTTTTCACTAGCTTTTTGATGTGTCAGACAATTTAAGTGTGCGATTTTGATAGATTGATTAGTAATTTTTGGATTTATTAAAATAAGATAAAATGTTTCAATAGGAAATGACAACATATCTCAAAAAGAAATGTCATCAATGTTTCAAAGTATCTATAAAACTATAACAAAGAACCATAGGGAGATAAAGGATTTGATGTATGAGACTATAAAATGTTCAAGAAATAACAATGTAAAATGAACAAGAAACCCAGGAAATAAGAGGAGAGAATAGAAAAAAACAGAGGAAGGGAAAGAGCAGATAAAAGAACAAACAAATGCAAAAGATAAGGAGAAGGAAGAGATAATCAAAACAGATGAAATACATCAAGCTGACAATATATTTAGAGACTCAAAATAGAATTGAATAGGCAGGTAAACATTCTTGAAGTAAGGACGGAGACATTCACAGGCATAGTGAAGATTTGGCAGTGAAAAGCAGAGGTAGAAGAGGGAACACCTAAATCAAGAAAGAATGATACAGGGAGACATAAAACTTCAAAGGAGGAATATGGAAAGCATGCTTAAAAAATCAATAAGAATTGAAATACTAAAACAAACGAGAGATGAGGGGTAGAAATAGAACATTCAACATAAGAGGTGCTATCAAGATTTAGAAAAGAGGTAGAAATTACAAAGAGGGTAAATATTCTTATGTATCCTCCTACCATTCAGCTAGGGGATGCGGTGGCTCAGTGGCTAAAACGCTGAGCTTGTCGATCAGAAAGGTCAGCGGTTCGGAGGTTCGAATCCCTAGCGCCGTGTAATGGAGCAAGTGCCTGTTACTTGTCCCAGCTTCTGCCAACCTAGCAGTTCAGAAGCATGTAAAAATGCAAGTAGAAAAATAGGGACCACTTTGGTGGGAAGGTAACAGCGTTCTGTGCGCCTTCAGCGTTTAGTCATGTTGGCCACATGACCACAGAGACATCTTCGGATGTCCTTTGGCTTTGTAACAGAGATGAGCAGCGCCCCCTAGAGCCAGAAACAACTAACACATATGTTACCTTTACCTTTTACCATTCAGTTAAGAGGGAACACTCAAACTCTTCTAGTAGCTACCAAAAAAGACAGCTGTAGATTGCTGGGACTCACCGCACTTTGAAGTGCACCTTAGAGGCTAGTTCCATCAGTATAAGAGATGTCCACCAGAGAAGCTGCCTTTATTAAGAGACAATAAAATCCCCTTTCCCCACTCCTCCCTGAAAGTTAGATACGGAGGTCAGGTATGAAGGCTGTAGAAAACTACGGCTCAATGCTCCTAGGAGATCTCTTCTTTGGCCAACCAGTGTAGGAATGGATGAGGTTCCCTCAAGTGATGGTGGGATGAGAAGTTCAGTGGACTGAGACAACAAGGGGCTCTTTGGCCAGAGATGGTGTGGGGACCTTGCTGTTCTCTGAGCTTGGTTGTATTCTTTTAGCTGTTTCATCACCCAAATATGTAACATCATTAGTGCTAGGTAACATCATTAACCATGTTTCCCAGTTGGGTAATGAAACATCTGCTCAAGAAAGCACTGAAAACCTCCCAGTTCAACCCTAAGCTTCAAATATTCTATTCTGGAGCCAAAGTCTCTTCGATCCTAGATCCTTGTCCAGCGTCTTTGGCATGATCCCATTGAGGATGTGGAAAAAGAAAATATGGCCTATTGATCTATTAGCTTTAATGAGGCCTATGTGGATGGTGGCAGACCCTAGGAAAGAGACCTGAACCAAAGTCATCAGCTAGGATGGTTTCATCAGGACAACGAACTATTTGTAATCTGCTGAGCAGTTGCCATTTGTGTAACATGATTTTGCAAAGTGGATAGATTCAGGAGTATATTTGGAACTAGAACAATGAAAGTCTGAGAAATGAGGAACTGAAAGCAATGGATGGATGGAGGGTTCAGATGTACATGGGTTTATGTGGAAACTGATAATCTGCAAGAAAGAATAAGAAAATGGATTATGAAATTCTATAACTGCCTTCCATCGAGGACCCGTATACTGCACGAGTCAAAAAGAGGGCTGTGAAAATATTTACAGACCCCTCACATCCGGGACATAAACTATTTCAACTCCTTCCCTCAAAACGACGTTATAGAGCACTGCACACCAGAACAAGTAGACACAAGGAGAGTTTTTTCCGCGAACGCCATCACTTTGCTAAATAATTCCCCCAATACTATTACACTATTAAACAACTATTTCCCACAACAAATTAATTACTAAGACTGTATTACTATTCTTCTCATCTTTCCTAGTACCTATCTCTTCCCATTTATGACTATAACCATGTTGCTTGTATTTTTACAATTTATATTGTTTTGTTTCCTAGTAGGATTTGATTGCTTATTAGTAACCTATGACTATCACCAGGTGTTGTATGTTAGGATTCTTGATGAATGTATTTTATTTTTTTACAACTGAGAGCATATGCACCAAAGACAAATTCCTTGTGTGTCCAATCACACTTGGCCAATAAAGAATTCTATTCTATTCTATTCTATTCTATTCTATTCTCTATTCTATTCTTAGCAAGAAAGTGTCCATCTGTGTGTGGTGACCTTTAGGAAAAAAGTATAAAAGGGGGAGCTAAAGATCAGCTCGGTATCATTGACCTTTAGCTGTCCTTACTGCACCTGCTGTATCACTGGACTTCATTGCAATGGGTTATTGATGTAAGTGATGCTATGATGGCTGTTCATGTTCCAAATTGCTCATGAAATAAACCTCTGAATTTTTAAGTAATAATTATTATTTGTGTTGCTGTCTTTTGTTTCTTTCATTGGGCTTTTTCCACAAGAACAATGCAGGCCTCTCTCTCTCTCTCCCCTCCCCTCTCTCTCTCTCCTCCCCCCTCTCTCTCCTAAAATACCCGTGTTTTAGTTCCTTTATACCATTAAAAAAGCATGCCACCCCAACAACAGATCATGTCCTTCTAATGTCAACAATCTAGTATTTCTTAATGTTATCCATTCCTTAACCCACATCAAAATTGTAGCTTGGTAATACAACTCCCAATTAGGCAAACCAAATCCTCCTCTTATTCTAGCATCTTGCAAAAGTTTTAATTTTATTCTTACTTTCTTACCTTGCCATATATATTTCAACACAATTGTTTGACACAAATATAAAATTTTGGGTAAAATATTCATCTTGATTGTTGATATTGTAAATTTTCCCATTTCGCCAAATCTAGCGCTATCTGCTGTTTAAGTTTGATATAATTATTCTCTTTTAGTGTACTGCATCTTGCTGTCAAGTATATCCCCAAGTCCTTGATCTTATTCGTGACCTGAATGTTCAATAGGTCTGCCAGTTCTTCTTTTTGTCTTGATAGCATATTCTTTGTCAAGATATCCTTTTTTTTTTTCAACATTCACATGTTAACATTTACCAGGAACTTCACACAGTGACAGAAGGGAAATCCTACAAACATTTGATGTGGGGAAAATGTTTTTCCTAGCCAAGCAACCTTAAATCCCACCAGAGAGAACACGAAGAGGCAGAAGGGCAGAAGTGTTGGTTGCGTGAGACTGTTTTGCTCACAAAGCCGCATTAGTCACGAGAGTGATGACACAAGAGTGATGAGTGTGTAAGGAGTAGATATAATGTTTTGCAGAGTACAGGAAGTCCTTGACTTATGACCACAAGTGGGAATGGATTTCAGGTTATAAATTGTTCAGTCGTAAGTCAAGGCACCCATTTAATTTCTAACAGACCTTTGTTGATCAATGAGGAGCACTGAAGATTTAGAGAGGAGAAAAACGGGGTGAGGGTGGATTG